AAATTACTTGCCTTGCCCCGGGTGCTGACAACCCACGCTACGCCGCTGCATGTTCCTCATCATTTTTCCGCGTCAACTATTAATTTTATTTATAAAGCATGGTGTGTGGAGAGGGCGGGTGTGCAATCCTGCAGTTGGCATTTGGCTGGCTTAGTCACCAAGTGGCATAAGCGCCATTGCCACTGGTGGAGAGGAAGGCCTACTGTCAGGGTACCACCTATGTCCTCTGCCAACAGTGTGGGCCAAAACAGGACATTCCTTGTGGCTGTCAGGGCAAGTTCCATGAATAATGCCAATGATTCTAAGCTGGCCCCACATGCTCCCAAATGGGCATCAAAGCTATGCCAGCCCTGGGACTGGCCTACTTATCGCCCTTTGTGAAAGAAACAGAAATGGGAACAGCAGCCACACCACCACCTCCTGCCCAGGGCACGGCTAGTCAGCAGGACTTTGGGTGTGTTGGCTGCTGAGCCACACACAACAGAACTGCTCTTTGTTACATGCTTCTCTGCATATGATGAAAACATCCATCAAAGCGAAACGTTTTAAAACCTGTGTGGCCCAGAGCCTGCAGCAGCAAAATTCCCATTTAGAATCCGTCATCTCTGAAGTACTTCTCAAATAAAAAATGCTTTAACTTCCCAACAAAAAGGGTACACACAAAAAATCTGTCATACTTATGAGTTCCATAAGGAGGGCACCCCAAACTGTGAAACCATTGCCCTGTGCCCTCATTGTTCCAACGTCAGTCGAAGAGAGTATACGAAGTGGGGGGGGGCCGCCTGGCCAGCCCAAGACATGCTGGTGTCTGAGGCAGAACAGCAAATGAAACCCCCTGCCTCATGCACCATCAAATTGGGGTGCATTAAGTATCAAGGCTGGCCAGGTTATTTTAGCACCCAAGACACAAAGCATTGCAAGCAGCTCTCCCTGCGATTAAAAAATAGAATACATTTAATGTCCATTTGTTGCCCGTTTGCAATTCCCAAAATCAGCTGTCTGAAGGCAGCCACCTCACTCTATGTAACAGGAGGGCTGGCTCTCTCAGCAGCTGATTGGAGAGGTATATATGGGGGAAATGCTCCGTAAAGCAGGGGTTTCCAAATTGTGGTTTGATCCACTAGTGATCTGCATGCCTCATTCAGGTGGTCCATTGTTGTCTGCCTGTGAGGAACAGCAGGAGCAGTGGCTGGGAACAGTTGGCGCAGTGCATTAAATATTCACATTGATTTTAATTGTATTTTTACTGCTTCTATTAGTTTTCATACGTGTATTTTATTATTTGCTGAATCCAAACTGCAACACAATAAAATACAATATAATAAATAAAAGAAACAAACAAAACAAACAAAAACACACACCCTAGCACAGCACATTACATTACAATTGCTACAGAAGGCAAAAAACAAACCAACCACCATTAATGGGTCTATCAAGACCCCCAGAAATTCTCAAGCGGTCCATGGGGGGAGGGGAGTTTGGGAATCACTGCCCTAAAGTACAGTACACATGTAATGTTCTAAGGCGGAGGCACTTTTTACTTTTTAGAGGTACATCTAAGTTCACCCAAATATGACAAGTCGGTGTTTTGAAAACACCTACATCACCCAGGCACACTCAGAGACAGGGATTGGGGACGTGCTCAGAGGCAAATGCAGCTTGGCTACTGGGTAGCAGGGGAAATGGCCCTACCTAATTGGTCAAAGATCAATAAATCTGGGTGGGCAGCCTTCAAAATTCATCCAGAAGTCTACAGTACTTTCTTGTTACCTATGTGGATATTTCAGCAACATAAATAGGAGCTGGTGTCACACCTCTTTCCAACTTCATTTCTCCCACACAATAGGCACCTTTTGTGCTAGGCACCCTGCATTCCTAATTAACATTGTCCTAATAAGCATCTGCAGCTATGTTGACTCAAAAATTTAAAATGGCATTAGACATCTACTGAGGTCCACAAGCGGAAAATGTGCACCTACGGAAGCTAACTTTGTTACTTTGCTGAGGAAGGGGGCACTTCCAGTGGCAAGTTTGTTTTCAAGCCTCATGAAGAAGGAGGCAAGAGTCTCGCATGTGAGACAAGAGCAGCAATTGGACTTCAGCCCCACTTTAGAATGTTATCTCCTGACATTGACTCTTAACACTCGTTCATGATGCTTTTGAATAGAATAAATATTTAGTCAATGAGATAAATAAAATGATTAGCAGACTTCAGTTCACATGAATCTCAACTAAGATAACGAGGAGAAAAGACGGTTAGATAAAAAGACTCAGCTATGCCTCCTGTTGGACCCACAACCTGTATTTGGTATTTAAGGATCAATCAGCTTCGGTGAATAAGGAAGGAGGAAACTGAGCAGCATTTGCAAATGCTCACTAAAAGGAAGTTCAGAACTGGCAAGCATTCAAATATAAATGTGCTGCATCTTGCAGTTCTCTAGAACAACCTCTGGTCCTCTACAAACCATTGTCGTGGGGAGTTCTCCTGTGCAATGCCACCTCCCATGTGTTGGGGTTTGTAGTTAATCAAGCTACTGAAATGAATGGGAGCTGCAAGCTCCTGCACATTTAGATACTGATTAAACAGAAGAACTTTCCCTTGCATTGTTCCCTTATTGCAGTTTTCGCCATTGACCATTGGTATTTTTCACCAGATCTCATACATCTGCAATTCCAGCCCCCACACAGGAAAATCTGCGTTCTTTTCCTTTCTATCTAGATCTGCATTCAGCATGGCACATGCTGCTAGACAGGTGTTAAGTTACATGGGGGCAGCATTACCCAGCACACAAATACAGCAATGGGCACATCTGTAGCTGCTAAATTTCTGCTTCTCATACACACAAGCTCTGAAAGAGAAAAAAGTTCTGACATACACAAACACACCCCAATTCACAAGTGGCACAATCCAGACTCACAAGGATTCACAGCATCACTTCTGAAACAACCCTTCTAGCGGTTTTCTATTTGTTAAAACCAATAACCCGATTCTGCAGCCAATAACCCAATTCTGCGCACATTTGCCAAGAAGCAAGTTCCATTGAATTCAATGGAACTTAATCTCAGGTCAATTCCACAGTATTGTCATCTAAGAAGCTTTGATATTTAAAGCAGATGGGCTATTTTTGAAAATGTGTTTCTATTCCTCATCCAGTATGCAGACGCTAAGAACATAAAAGCATAAAGGTTACAAACATTAAAGAAGTAAAGAAGGCGAAAAATTAATGTTAAAGGGAGAAACATATTCAGCTTCTGGATTAGCATTTGCACTAAACCATATTCAGTTTAAAGGAGGAGACCTAAAAGCAGCTTCCAAATTAATTTGTGATAAATATGATGCAGCATTTTACCGTGAAACATCAGTTTCCAAAACATGAACATGTGTATTCAAAAAATACAACACTGTACTGCTGGGGGGGGGGAAAGGATTTTGGGAGAATGATAATATACTGTCCTTCCCTCTCCCCTCCTTCCATTTCCACCCATACCATCAAAATTTAGATTGTAAGCTCCTATGGGCAGGGACCTGTCTATTTTGCCGCCGCTGGCATTATCTAGAATAATACAAAGAGCCATAGCCTAAGCAAAAATTTCTATTAAACACATTTCTGAAAACATTCAGTACACTTTTGAGTATAAAGAGAAAACGGGGCTTTAAAATGTTTGCATTCTATCGATTTTGACCTTGATGTTATGGTTTCAAGCTACAAACACCAACTGAAGAGACACAGAAGTTTAGATTGAATGATGGACTTAAGGAAGATCTGAAATAGGGTAAGGGGCCCCGGGTATTCTTAATAAATGTGCAAGGCAGAAGAAGAAAAGGCTTGTGTAAGTCAATCAGTGCTTCCAAGACTCAAACCAAAACCTCCTTTTTCCACTGTTTTTAACTGATGGCTATTTAAAACCACTGTGAACCGGTTTAAAATTATTAATCACGACCCAGCATTCAGCAAACGATCCTCCTCTAGATCAGCCACTGATGTTTACCTGAAAAAAGGTATTCCTTTGTTTTGGCTTTTGTTATTTTGAATGATTTAAAGGGGACCCTCACCCCGGGAGAGTGCGAACAAGTTTCTTTACAACACACAAACTTTGATTTATTCACGTAAACATCAGAAACGCTTTGGCAAACACGGCCAGATGGAGGGGAGGAAGATAATGGCTTTTTCTGTTTGCCTTAGAAACTAAACAGCTGCGGGAAGCATCATCTGTGTGGCGAGCCAATAACTTTTCATCTTGTAGGCTCTTCCATTTATCAACCTGAAGCCAATTTAATTTGATGATGGTGGGGAGAGAGAAAGATTTTGTTTTAAAGATCTTTCATAAACTTTTAAAAAGTCATTCCCCCTTTTTGCATCTTGATTTGTTTGAAATCAGGGTTTATACACAAGAATGATGAGATTGTAAAAAGAAAAAGAAATAAAAGTAAATCAAGAGCTAAAGATCACAGGCATATTAAGGGGTGGGGTCGTTTCGGAGCACAGTCTGTCATCACCAGGAAGGGTGATCCGAGTAAAAGTTAAGCATTTTAAGACTGCAATCCGAAACACATTTCCTAAGACATAAGCCCCCTTCCCCAATACAGAGAGCCTTATTTCCAAATAAACACACACGACGTCTGCAGTCCTATGCCTACTCAGTCAGGAGTAAGCCCCACTGAACTCCCTGGGACGCACAACTCAATCCTATGTTTCTTCGGAAGTAGCACTTAGTTCAATGGAGCTTACTCCCGAGCAAGTGAGCTTCTTAGATTGGCTTCCTTAGACACGAGTAAACATGCGTTAAACGGGGCTGCAACACCCCCACGGATCCCAGCAGAGTAAATCCGAGCAGGTGCTCAACGCTCTGCACAGAAATCCACGGAACGAGGAGCCAGCTGCACGTTTACAAGGAAACGTATCTCACTGAGAGTATATTCAATTACTGTAACGCGTTAACTTTGGCTGAATCGTGCCCTAAACCAGTGCGAAGAGGGTTTCCCCATCAGATCTACCTACCCTCGCATAGGACGACGACACTTAACGCCCAACGGGCTAAAGGCATCTTTCCCCCTCGCAATAATCCCATCGCCTCTCCGAACTTCTTCGACGGCAGGGAAGAAGTCTTGGCAAGGCTCTCTGGAGTTCAAACGTGCACGAGATAAGATAGTTCTCCGCGCTCCCTCCAAAGCAGGCGCTTGGGTCTTGGGTGGGGAGACGACAGTCCGCTCCTCAGTCAGGTCGCCCCATCCTCCGAAGGGTCTCCAGATCCCCCTCCTCTCACTTGCGGCTGCCAAACGCCAACAAGACCAAGGGCTCGACTGGAAGGGGGGGTGGTTCCCGTCTGCTCCTGCCGGCCTGGGTCGCGAAGAGCCGCGCTTGGGGCGCCTCCCAGGTCTCTACTCTCCCCAGAAATCGAAAGAGAGGTAGAGACCCAGAAGCGCGCGCGGACGAGGCGGATTCAGCCCACCTGCCTAGGCAGCACTGGCTCAACTCCCGTTGGTCTTTAGCCGCCCATCGGAGTCTACGGGGTGCTTCTTCATTGAATCTGGAACAGATGATGAGGGGGGAGAGAGATTTGAGCGGGTTCAGACCGTGGTGGGGGAAAAAGTGGAAATGAAGATCTGCTCCGTTTGCTTCCAAGGCGGCTGGCGCTCTCAGGAACTGCACGGCTGCATTGATCTTCTCCAAGTGCACTTTGCAGCGCCCCCTCCCAGGCGAAGGGGGAAAGGATGCCGCTCCGACGCCTCCCTCCAGCCGGGAATGGAAGGAGTTCAGTCGCTCTGCTCCGCAAGATCTAAGAGCAGCTCGGCTTTTGTGCTGAGCGAGGGGCGGTGGTGCTGCTGGCTGCCGCCTGGGGTGGTCTGGGCCAGCTGGGAACTTGCCTGGGTCCTTGCGGCGGAGCTGCCGTGCGCCTAATGAGGCTGCTGGCAGGCGGGCACAGAGCGAGCGAGCGAGCAGAGCTGTTCCCCCTCCTCGCGGTGGAGCTGCTGCGCGGATGGCTCGGTCCAGGCAGCAAATGGACAAGCCGCTCTCTTTCTCCCCCCACCCCAAGTTAATGAACAAATTGCAGCAGGGGGGGGAGTGTGAAACTGATCAGGGGGCAGGGCGCCTGGCTGCAGAGGCAGGAAGGGACCCACCGAAGGGGGCCGAAAAAGAAAAACGGGGGGAGGGATCAAATCTCAAGAAAGGAGGGCAGAGTCAAGGGGAAGCTCAGGACGGCTTTGCTACAGGTGCTGCTACTGCAAACTCCAGGTGTAGGCGAGGGCGCCTAATGCAAAAGACCAGCATTTGGAAACGCAACTGGTCCTTGCATAATTTGCGCAACGTTTTAAAAACGAAAGCACCCAGCAGTTTGGAGATGGGGCTGCATCCATACAGCTTCCAGGCGCAGAGGCCGGGGACGCCGTCATCTGCTCCCTTCGCCGGGCTTGGTTGCAAGATAGCAAAAGCAGAATGGAAGGCTTGGCTCTTGAAAAATGGCCGGAGGGGTTGGGACAAGCCCAGAGCTGGGTGCGGAAGGTTGGGCCTGCAAAATCGAGGCAAAAAGTAGGGATGGGGTTGAACCGGGAGGACACCCAAACAAACATGCAGAAAGGAGTTACCAAAAGATCTGGAGCAGGGTAGGGGGGCGGGGAAGAGAGGTGATAGAGCAACAGCAGCCTGTCCTCTGTAACTACACCTTAATACGAAGGTACCGATTTCAGAATAGTAACTTGCCCCGCCCTGGATACATTAAACATGCTGAATAATTAATTGCTGGGGAAACAGATATTTTTGTCTGATGGTGAGAGGATGCTTAAGGGTAGGCAAGCTACCTGGCAGATGCCCAAAGTAGCCTAGAATGTATGCCCGCAGCTGCTGCTTATTAGTGTAACACCACTTTTGAACCACAAATGAGGGGGGGGGGACTTTTCTCAACCTATTAGCTTTCCCAGCAAGCCATCAATACTCAGCTAAAAGCCCCAGCAAACGTTGCATGCATTGTGGAATGGAAGCACTTGAGTGCCTCAGCCACTTCTGTTGCATAATGCCAACACCATCTCTGTAGTTCCCTCTGTGTGCAATTTCTTTTTCAGGGGAGAAAAGTTGGGTGAACTTTCCACACTGGGACCTGTCCCTTTCTTTGGAATATGTTGCAAGAAGTTGACAGGGCTTACTCTCAAGTTAAGTGTACTGGGGATTTTCACAAGCCTTAAGAATAAAAATTTAAAAATCGGTGTTCGAAAACACCTACATCATACAGGCACACTCATCGGAGATGAGTGCATATGCAGCAGCAAACCCAGCTTAGCTGCTGGGTAGCAAGGGAAATGGCTCTACTCGCTTGGGTGAAGATCAATCCATAGGAATGCTTTTCGGCTTCTGGAAGTTTCAGATAACATTATGCATTGCTTGTCCAGGAAGCTTACTTAAAAACTCTGCAAATGTTATGTTTATGTTCCCGAGAAACCCTAAGAACAGCTACTAAAACCACTCAGTATTGTGGAGCCTTAAATGAATGCACACACCAGTAAGAATATGTTCATATCTGCAAGTATCCAGTCCAGGAATTCACAAAGTCTCTGTCATGAGAAATAAATATAAGGAACTATTGGGTCCAGAGTAGCTTGAAAGCTGCATCTCTGCAGGATTTACTGCTCTGAGGTCCCTTACCCCACTCCAAGAACCTGGAAGGTGGGTAATTGAGCCATATGCCTGCATCATGTTCAATTCCATAATTCCCCACCCTCAGATATGCCATAACTGCTCTTTCCCTTAAGTGAGTCTACAAGAGTCACCTCCCCTGAACTTGTCTCCTTCCAATCTGGAGTCATGAGAAGCACAGTGATTCATACAAAACTTACAAAGCGTGGGGAATTCTTACTCTTTCACACTGTATTTTTATGCTGTGTACCACCCTGAAATCTACTGATGAAGGGCAACATAAAGAAGAAGAAGAAGAAGAAGAAGAAGAAGAAGAAGAAGAAGAAGAAGAAGAAGAAAGTATACTTGCCTTGTGGTGAGGAAGTATGACAAGTTTGGAAAATACTTCTCTGGCTGGCCTGACTGCTGATGCAAAACAAACCTAATGATGACATCAGTAACTTTACTGTCACTATTTGTCAGCAGCTCCTCTTGCTTTTGGATCACAAGTCTACCCAATTTTCAGAGCTATTGGAAACTGTTCTCGAGTGCTGCATTGGAATTGCACACAGGGTACACCATGTGCCAGATGAGCAATATCAGGTGATGCTGCTGTGCCTGAGTCAGTGATTACAAAATGTAGAACCGTCTTTTCTCATAACCAAGCAGCTATCTCTTCTTCCAATAAAACCAAGCTACTGTACCACAAGTTATTGATTGCTTAAAAACAAATGGAACATTTGCTTTGCCTTGTTACACTGTGGGTTGTGATCACGCCCTTCTCTGTGTATGCCTTGGAATGTTTCCTTTTTGGTTTCACTTTCATTTTGCCATCGCTCCTGTGTTGTAGAGTGATTCCTTCACTTGCTGTGTTGGCCAAGTCTTCTCTCTGCTTGGAGTAAATGAAAGAGGTTGTGCTAGGTGACTTTATGGCTGTAGGCAGTTTGCTGCTTCTGTAATTCCTCATGTGAGCACATGTTTGGAATCCCACCTGGGGGGAAGCAAATGGGGTAGATTTCTGATCCAAATCACCCTCTCCTAAAGCTGATTTTATTTTTCCTTTAGAACAGCCATTGTGGCTTCCTTTGTATGCAACATATAGTCTGCCCCCAACCCCAACTCTCTGTTACGCTGTTTTCATCAGCCAAGCCGGTGGCAACTTTGCCCTCCTTGAAATATCTAAAGACTAGAATGACTTTCGCTTATTCAAGGAACACCTAGTGTACCTATTGATTGATCAGGGTTTATGAGCCTTTTGATTACTTTAGCACTACTTTCCTCCTTCCCACCCATGTGTGTTGTGTGTTTCACATTGCAAGTCTGAAGGCAAGAACTGTCTCTTTACAGATTTTTGCAAGCTCTTTGGGAAAAGAGCAGGGTGAAAATGCTTTAAATAAACAACTGAAACACCCACCCACCACAAAATTAGTAGAAAATGAGGACTTCATTCATGACACATTAAAAAACCAAATGGAGAATAACAGAAAATCTCATCACAGACTATCTGAATGCAGTGCAGACATTTTCTGCAATGATCACAGCCATGTATCTGCTAATATCATCCTCTAGGCCTTCAGTCTATCATGTTTATGTGCCATTTAATCAGATCCAAAGGCTCCCATGGTTGGTCAATTCTCAGCCTATTCCATCATGTAGTAATGCCTGCATTGCTTGAGCAACTGAGGCATGGTAGGCGACTATACAGCTGCCCATGATATATTTGTCTGACCAGTTAAACCAAGCTCAAGCAGTCTGAAAAGCCAATAAACCTCAAAGCTGCCCTAACAAATAATGAAGTTTGTTACTGACTCCATTTCTGGATCTCCAGCCTACATCCGCAGACTGTGCTAGGCTCTGCATTGATCCACCAAGTTCTCTTCTGGCTCTACATAGGACTGACAACTCATCCTGAACCACAACTCCATCCTGAGAGGCTAGCTGTTGTTTACCACAGAAGTTTGGGAAGGGTTGTAGCTCACTGGTATAGAGTGCCTGCTTTGCATTCAGAAGATCTCAGGCTTGTTCCCCAGCAATTGCAATTTCTGCTGCATTTCCCCATCCAGGTAATGCTGAAAATGTACCTTTATTTGCTAACCTTCACATCCACAACCCCATGCAAAGTAGCTAACCTGCGGCAAAGTCTCCCCTGCGATACCTTTCATAAATAGCCCTAATCAATCAAGTCCCTTTCAGCTTCCTTCAATTTTATTTTAAAAAGCAACAACAAGCATCATTTCCATTAATAGAAAATATTAGTCCATCCTGCAGTGCTTACCTAAGTAGCAAAAACATTAAACTTTGGAAGCATAAAATATAAATGATCTATATTGAGCAGTGAGGTCACTGCTGAATCATAGTCCTAGTCAAACGTAGGTCATAATCAAAGTACTAAAAAGCCTGTAGGTCATCATCTGGTCAAAACCTCTGCTCTACACAGAGATGGGCACAAAGAGGCCCATTGACTTTCCCAATGTAGAGCATACCTCATCTGATCGGAGAGAATGGATAGCTGGTTTGTTGAGGGAGCACACCAGAAGGAAACGGAAGCTCTCCATAGGTCACAGAAGCATTCTTGAATCCAGGATAAAACGATACTGGTGGGAGGTGCAGTGCACAGAACCAGAAGAGACAGCATTGCTTCCAGGAACTATGATGGAGTGACAAGGATTTGAGCCAATGTGACTGCAGCGTGGAGCGATGAATTTACATGCATTCGCATTTTGCACAAATGGCTTCCCGCAGTCTCCTTAAAAAAGAAAAGAAAAAACAGCCCAAAGTGAACTCAGCAACTCTGAGGGAGGACACAATATTATTCATTTATACTACTACTGTGATCTTCGGATGAAAGGCGGTATACAAATTTAATTAATAAAAAAAAAAAATAACATTGAATAACAATGTATTGGGGTGGGGTGCCCAAAATACTTCACTTTATTTCATTCATAAATAAACCAACCAACTAGTAATACAGATCATCAGTTGGAGGGTCAGGCTGAAGAACAAATATAGGGGCTCACATAAAAGGCCACTAAGTGGCTGTGTTTACATGTAATCATAATCCAAGAAAAATGGCTTTGTAAACCAAGCCAGAACTGCTTGCTGGTCTAAAACCATTCTTGTTGGCTTATGCATCCTGGCTTATTAGGGCAAAGCAAACCACAACCTCAGGCTCAGATGTAATGCTAAGCTATCCTCTTCCTGCTTTACCTGCCTGCACCAAAAGAGAAGCAAAGTGAGGAGTTCATGCACCGTGCAGTTTGTTAGGCCAAACTTCTTGGCTTACTGTTACAGGCCAACATGGGTGGTGAGTTAATGGTTGAGCTGAGGCACACAGGCCTAGTCCTTATGGAGGTTATAAGCCTGAATTTCAGAACCTACCATGCCACAGTTCAGAACTGTGGGTAGCAGCTCACATGATCGTATGTTCCTGCTTTCAAAAACATATTCATAAATAAAACTAGCATGTTAAGTAGAAGGCCAGCACCTCTGTCTTGAAATCAGCTTTCCAGCTATCTATTTGATGCTTTCCGAGAAACGTCCCCTCTTCTAATCCAGTGTTTCCCAACCTTTTTTGGGCAAAGGCACACTTGTTTCATGAAAAAAATCTCGAGGCACACCACCATTACAGCCCCGTGACGTCAGCGCGCAGCGTCACGCCGGGAGGGACGCACGAAAGTGTAAGTTTCAATTTTTTCCCCTCCCCCTTGCCTTCCTTCTGTGCCAACCGCCAAAAAGCCAAGAAAAAAGCCAAGACTTTAGGGCAGCAGGTCGACACGGAAGAAGCTCCTACCTAAGGACAGGTGCGACGGCCGTGTCCTCTTCTGCCACACTTGGCAGCCCTGCCTCACGGTCGTGACTCCCACCCTGATTTCTCCCCGCAGGTCGAGCGGCACAGGCAGCCCAATGTGTCCAGCCCAGACACAAGCCCCGCTTCCCCACTCTAGATCCTGAATGCGACCAAGTGCTCTGGACTCCCGAGCAGGGTGGGAAAGAGGACTCGCATCTGGTAGCCTCCGGGCTCCTCGCCTGCTCGAGGGATGGCATTGCAGGCAAGCTGCCGGCCGTCGCCATCGCCGCCCCCTCATGCGAGTGGACCTGCCCGGAGTGGTGGGCCGGGGGAGGCTCGCTCTCTGTGGGGATGTGGCCCGCACGCGCGGCCCCGCTTCCTCCTACCCAGGGCTGAGCTCCTTACCCGCGATCTCGGTCTCGCGCACGCGGATCCCACTTATTCCGAAGCTCGCGCCACTAGCCGGGGCTCTCACACCGTGCCAGGGCGAGGCGGGCCACTGACGTCATCGCGGCTCGCCACCGCCCTCGACTTCCCTGTTCCCTCCCCTCCCTCGGGTCGCCATGGTTACCGAGGACTGCAAGCTGCTCGGGCGAGCGTGGGGCATTAAGTGGGAGAAGGAAAATTAAAATTAAAACTCGCCTGAAGGCCGCCTCTCCGGATATCTTTCGAATTTTTTAATTTTTCCCGCGGCACACCAGGCAACGTCTCGCGGCACACTAGTGTGCCGCGGAACACCGGTTGGGAAACACTGTTCTAATCAACGCTATCTCTACCATGTAGGATAACTGTTCCCACTATCTACAAAACACTGTTGCTCACCATCCTCTGCTCACACCTAACTTCTAGAAAACAGAGCTCTCTCTATTTCTTTCCATCACGTTATATAGGAAAAAAAAACCCACACCCTCCAAATTACAAAGGTAAAAGATATTGCAAATGATGGCTGCTAATTTTGCCCATTGGTTTGCAGATTGGCAGATGACATAACCCACAAAGCCCACAGACTTCCTGTTCTGTGTTGGCTTCATATCCCAAGCAGCAATGAGAACAGCATGAAGGAACTTTCTCTACATTCCCAGTCCTGCTAAGCTGCCTTACTTGGAGGCCCCAGTCTGGCCCCACCACAAAGAAACATCCCTGCCTTCCCCAGGTTATGCCCTCTAATGTTTTCTGGATACACCATGCCAGTAGGGCCCAAATGCTCTAGGCTGCATTTCTATATTCTTTCATGAGACTTACTTCAGCGTTGACATAGGCTGCAGTCCTGTGCATAGATACTGAGAGTAAATCCCACTGAACTTAAGAAAACCACCCACACCATTAACCTTGAGGGCCCAGGGTCCTTACAAATTGCTGAAAGGGCTCATATAAAATAGTTTTGGGTTTTTTTTGCATTCAAGAAAGATTTGCTTGCTTATTTTTGCATGCTGGGAATCTGTAGAGACAGTCTGAGAGCTGGAAATTAACAGAGCAGGAAAAGTAGAAACTAATGAATCTCTATCAGGATAATAATGTAGGAAAGACAACACGCAGGCAAAATATGCCTCAAATCAATGGTTTGCATAGAAATGTTTTACTCTCAATTGATCTTGTTTTTGAATCATTTTTTTTTTAAGAATATGAACCCATAAATGAATCAATATGGGTGCCATCTAAAACTAAAGAACCATTGAATGAAACGAATGAAAAGGCTTTTTAAAGTCATGGGGACCAATACATTTGGGCTGAGGCAGGGTTGGCTCATCCATGAGGCAAGGTGAGGAGACCGCCTCAGGCAACAGGCTCTACCGAGGCAGCAGATCTAGCCACCAATGAATGCACTGCTGCTGCCGTAGTGGCAGCAATAGCTGCAGTGCACTCCTTGGTGATCAGACCTCTCCCTGCCTCCACAGTTCCACCTCTACAGTGGCCTCTTTGCCAATAGGAGGTACTGTGAGTCCTCTCCCACTCTTGTTCCCAATGTAGATCTTTATCCCCCCACCACTTGTTCCTGATGTAGCTATTCATTTACCCCTTCTTCCCTGGTGGGAGAGGGAGTGCCATTTTGTGGTTCGCCTCAGGTGCCAACAAGTCTTGAGCTCTAGACAAAGGTCCTAGAATTTTTCATCCCCAAACTTTTTAAACTACCATAATCAGGGCCAGCCCAAAACATTTTGCTGCCTGAAAACACAATTTAGCAAAATAGCATGCCAGAGATTATACTGAGCTGAATAAGGCCTCAGGCCTAATGTTTATTTCAAGTTTGGGTTGCCCCAAAAGGAATTTTAAATGATGTGCAAAGCAAACTTAAGTGGGCTGGTGAAGTAGCAGATGACCCAAAGCTCTGCTGTCTTACACCAACCATGGTGGATGGCTTGGGTGTTTCTTGCCCATACAGTGGTACCTTGGTAACTTAATTCGTTCTGGAGGCCCATTCTTAACCTGAGACTGTTCTTAACCTGAGGTACCACTTTAGCTAATGGGGCCTCCCACTGCCACCCCCACATCACCGTCACCACACGATTTCTGTTCTCACCCTGAAGCAAAGTTCTTAACCCGAGGTACTATTTCTGGGCTAGCGGAATCTGTAACCTGAAGCGTCTGTAACCCGAGATACCACTATTTTTCAACTTTCTCTCACTGTTGAGAGAGAAGAAATGGGGGAGCATCTGTGCTAGCCTCAGGCTAGAGTCGGTAAGGAACCCAATACGGGGGCCCATTGGAGGAATGAAGAGGCTTTGGATCCAGCAAATCCAAGGCTGCGTCTGCTTCCAGAACACCCCATTCCCAAGCCAAACCTTGGCTAGCACCAGCAAAAACACCACAAGAACTATGCCATTGTAGCTTTCCATAGATGCAATGGGTGGGGAACTTGCCACAACATGCATTTATGCTGCCACAAAAAAATCACATCATCAGTGAAGGGGATATCCACCCAATCCTCATGCCTAGCAGATCTGGGGTTCATGGTTGTGCTCATGGTTATGTAATTATTTCCCTACAATTTATACCTCAAGACCACATTTTAAGCAAGTCCTACAACAAAGCAACTTTCATGATGCCAAGCAGTTTTGGATCTGGTCACAGTACATGCATGGGGGGGACCAGTAAGGGCCCCCATATACACTGCCCTGAGAGCCACGAAAGAAAGAAAACAGAATAAAAGTGTGCTTAAAAAGGGGGGGTGATTGCAGAAAATTCGGTGGAATTACTCAGGGAATCTAAACAGGGGATAGTTTTTAATGTTTCATTATTGAAGTGTTTGTCACAGGGGAGAGTTCCTCCCCCTACTCTGAGATATGAAGGCTGTGCTATCGATTAGGATTCATCATTGAATTTTGACAAACTCTTTGTCACACTGTAACTCGTTTTGTGATAAATAATATCTTGCTAAGGAAAGATGAGACAACAGTAATAGAACAGATGGGTTCAATCTTTTCAGCAGAGACTTGGAAAAAAGACAATGAAAGGAAATGTATTGTAGTAGAAGGGAAATCATTCTAGTGAGAAGAATTATTTTCATTCAAAACGTCCTTAGTAGTCAGGCTAACTGAGCATTTTAAAGTAATTCTCGCTGTCAGTAAACAGACAGTTTTAAGTATGCATACACTGAAATGATTCCATATGTGCAAATGAATAACTGCTATTTTCCACCCTTTAGGAGAGACAGCAAATATTTCGTGGGTCTCCGTCCACCTGGCTTGGCGCTACCAGCTCCACCATATTCCCCATGCAGCCAAGTTGCTCCTCTTCCCTCACTCCTACACCACAACACCTGCACAATTCCTTTGGTGTCTACTCACTGCAAGGAAACATTCGAAATCCATCCAATTTCCTTTTGACATTGCAAAGCCAAAGTCCCTCCTTGTCATCTCATCACAATCTTTGGAGTCTCTTCTTCACCCTCAGTAAATCAGAAGAACTTTAAGTGCTTCCAAACTGTTGCTATTCTGGGGTGGCGTTCAATCATATGCCAG